TTTTTTTATGGATTTGCCAGAAAAATAATTTAAGCTGCCAGGTTTTTTTTTATTTTTACATGTGTCTAATGGTTTGCATTATCATCACAATACACTGGGATATCTAATGTTAAAAGTTTCTGTGTTCAGCTAAAGGTGCTGCAGTGTTCCCACTTCCACAGTTTAAGAAAGAAAATGATGTTATCAATCTTACCTATATGTATTCTCTCTCTAGATACTCTCTCTAGATCTCTCTAGTGGCTGTTGAAGTGGAGGGTTTCAGAGTTGCCATGTGGTTGGGGGTTGGAATTGCAGCTGGTTTGCCTTGGGGGGGCAGAGGGGTGCTGGGTTTTTTGCATTTCAAAGGTGGTAACCCTATTTGGGGGACCCCCGAAGGGGAAATCAGTGACTTTTTCTCATTGTTGAGAAATGTTCCACATGGAGCTGCACAGAATTTAGCACGTATGCATGGGCCCAGCCTGTTCTCCATAGGTCACAGCTGGAGAACCACTGATGGAAACAGCTATACCATTTTCCCTGTTTTAAAATAATTTTTTGCATTAGAACTGGCAAATTCTGCTCTCAGTTACATTTATGTAAATGTAAAATAACTCCATGAGAGTTAATGGAATTACTCAAGATCTAAACAGGTGATGACTGAGGGCAGGTCTACGCTTGAAAAGCTGCAGCGGGGCCACTGTAGCACTTTCGTGAAGGTGCACCAGTGCCAATGGCAGAGTTCTATGGAGAGTCCCATGACAGGTGCGGAGTCTGATTAATTGGGTGCATTTGCTAGCCTGGCAGGTGATGGGGGGTAAGACCTATCTATCACAGGGACCTAAAGAGATTAGAAACATGGTTGTAAACTAACCAAATAAGAATCAGCTTGGAAAAATGCAAACTAATGCGTCTGAAAAAAATATCTGAAACAGATACGTAATGGGAAGTAGGGGTGAGAGGGAGCAACAATCTAGATACAACTTTGCAAGGTGATATAATAGTAAAAAAGGCCAGTTTTGAGCAGCATAAACAACGACATGGAGCAGAGAGTTCCTCTCTATACAGGTTTCAGAGTAGCAGCCGTGTTAGTCTGTATTCGCAAAAAGAAAAGGAGGACTTGTGGCACCTTAGAGACTAACCAATTTATTTGAGCATAAGCTTTCGTGAGCTACAGCTCACTTCATCCGATGAAGTGAGCTGTAGCTCACGAAAGCTTATGCTCAAATAAATGTGTTAGTCTCTAAGGTGCCACAAGTACTCCCTCTCTATACAGCTGTTCAAGCACACCTGAAATACTGCCTCCAGCTTTGAGCAACACATTATAGCTGAAGGGAGTTCAGAAAAGAGAAAAAATATCAGGGATTGGAGGGACTGATTTATGAGAAAAGGCTAAGGCCTTGGTTCAGCAAGGTGCTTAAGCTCCTGACTAATTTTAAACACCTTTCTAAATCAGGGCTTAGAAGAGCTAAATATACATAGCTGGGCTAACGCAACAAGGTGGCATGTGATAACTATATGTCAAATCTCATTTTGTTATTTTCTTCTTGTTTTTCTCTCTAGCTCCCTTAATGTTTTTTCTCTTTCTGCAGTGCCATGCACAGCTATTCCCTATTTTGTATTATCTACCAGTTTTGCTGACCTGATGTTTACTCCCCTTTCCAGATCATTAATGTACATTTTAAATAAGACTAGATTCTACACTGATCTCTGTGGTACTCTACTAGGTACTGGTTATCATTACTTTTGTTTATGGTCTTTTAGCCTGTTTTCCAACCATAGGATAATATTTTTGTCTAATTTCAGAATAGCAGCCGTGTTAGTCTGTATCCGCAAAAAGAACAGGAGTACTTGTGGCACCTTAGAGACTAACAAATTTATTAGAGCATAAGCTTTCATGGGCTACAGCCCACTTCATCAGATGCATAGAATGGAACATATAGTAAGAAGATATATATATACATATGGCAACTTCCACCTTCTGTGTATGTGTATATATATCTTCTTACTATATGTTCCATTCTATACATCTGATGAAGTGGGCTGTAGCTCATGAAAGCTTATGCTCAAATAAATTTGTTAGTCTCTAAGGTACCACAAGTACTCCTGTTCTTTTTGTCTAAGGCATTTTAATGAAGTTTTCAATTAAGTTTTCATGGAAATCCAATATACTTTTTTTTTTCAAAAAATCTAAATACAGGGACTCTGCTGCATTTATTTCATCCACTAATTTTGAAATTCTACTTTTTAAAAAGCAATTAAGATTGCCTGGGAAGATTTATTCTGTACAAACTTAATTTTCTTACACCTTAACATTCTGTTTGCAACTGGATGTACCCATATGGATGAACATTACTGTCACCAAAAAGGTAAAAGCAGGTAGCAGCAGAGGGGAAGGAGAGGCAATGAGTGGCTGCCAGCGATAGGGTCCCCGGCGTGGGGCCCACAGTAGTGGGTGGGCCTGCCTGCCACCCCTTTTGCCCCCTGGCCACCAAAGGAAGTGGCCGGCCAAAGGACTGCAGTTTGCCCCTGAGCAAGGGGTGGACTAAGGGCTGCAGTTCACCACTGCAGTGAAAGGCCAGTTGAAGGACTGTTGGTTCCCCTGGAAGTGGGGGAGACAGTGTAGTTGGGGCACAGATGGAGGGCCGTGCCCTGAAGAGGATGCTGTCTGGGAGCGAAGCAGGTCCCCACAGACAGCGGAGACGGTGGAGAAGCAATGACTGAGAGTGAGACATCACACTGCTGATGGACAGAGCTAAATCCCCCCCCCCCGCCCCAGCAATCAGCAGGAGGTGCATGGTGGTGAGCACAACCCATTACAGGGTATTATCCCACATTAGCTGCTGTAACTACAAGTGTGACTGCGGCAAAGAGTCCTGTGGCATCTTATAGACTAACAGACATATTGGAGCATAAGCTTTTGTGGGTGAATACCCACTTCATCGGATGCAAGTGTGACTGTTACTGGGGATAAAGATTCTCCGATCCCTGTTTCAGTCCAGGGTTTCAGTGCATGAACCCCATGGCCCAAGAGTCCCAGGAGCTGCCGAGTCAGTGTTTTGCTTTGTTTCTTTCCTAGCTCTGCCAGAGCTGCCTCATCCCCGCTCGGGGCCCAGAGCTTCCTCACTGCCTGGGAAACTAGCCAGATTTGTCTTACTATCTGCGATCATTAATGATTTATTAGGATTATTAGAGTAGTTGTAAATGACATTTTACTTCTGAATTAAGGAGACATTACCAGTAGAAATAAGAGCATTATTCCCATTATTCTGAGAATTACCCTCATTATTTTTATTGCTCACCATTAGCAATTATACTTTTTAGCAACAATTTAATATTAGTAAAGTATTTACTATTCATTCTGATCTTTTCCATCACTTTAATTTTGTTTGTTATTCTAGACTAGTTATTATCTTTACTGATTTCTTTGATTTATTATAATTTATTAGTACACTTATTGTTAGTGACCGTGTATTAGAATGACTATTATGTGGTTGGGACAAGTGAACAGATGAAAGGGGAGGCCATGGGCTACTGTCAGATTATTTTTAATCCTCTTTCTGTCTTTCCTGAAGATTGGAGCTGCTGTGTCACTGGTTCTGATACTCTATCTTGTCGCCATCTACACCAGGACAGAGGAACAGCCCTATGGGAAGGGCTGACACTAAATACCATCTGTCTGTGTGTCTGGGCTGAGAGGAGAGTGAGTGCTCATCTGTGGTACAGTGAACCCTTGGCATGGAATGGCTGCTTACATACAGGGCCTCTTATAAGTGACAGCAGAGCTTATAAACTCTTAGGTGCAGCTGTTCATCTGACGGAGTTTACAAACCTACCTAGGCCCAATCCTAGGTTTTATTTCCAGCCCTTGGGGAGTGTGATCTCGTAGTTAGAGCTGGGTGTGTGTGTGGGGGAAGTAGGAGTCAGGATTCCTTGATTCTGTTCCAATCACAGTGATGGCGAGATAGATAGTGTTTGGAGCAATATAACGTTTGGAGCAAGTGTATCAGGACTATTGGATTCTGCTGCCACTGGGATAGAGCAGGGACCGCTGGGTTCTGTGGGGAGTGCTGTGGGGAACAATTATCTAGTGGTTAGAACAGGGGTCTGGTAGTCAGGACTCTTTTGTTCCATTCCTGCAGCCAGTGGGAGTTCTAGTATTTATAGCAGAGGAGGCCAGGAGCTCAGACTCCTGGGTTCCTTCTATTCCACCATCCTCCCTCCACGCAAATACACAGCATCCCTCTGCTGCTTTTTCCCCACCACACACACTCCTGGCTGCTGAAGTTTCCCTCCTAAGCCCTCAGATGTATTTAGTGTTTCCGCTTTGCACTATGTATTCTCTCTTCTGTCTCTGCACAGAGAGCTCATCTGTTTCTAGTTCTTCTGCCTGCACTGGATCAAAAGCATAAGGCTCATTCATTCCTGTTTTCCTGATTGCATCTCTAAATTGAAATTCTATCTCCGCACCATGCCACTGTGAGTATCCAAACAGATAAGTTCTGTCCTACAAGTTACTGGGCTCTGTACAGGAGCTACTAGGTAATTCTGTGGCCTGTATTCTGCAGGAAGTCAGACCTTAAAATCTATGAATCTGCACAACGCAGACCTACTCTTGGACTCCTCTGTCCAATGAATCAGCAGTTTACAGCCACAGGGCTGTTGCTTTTAACCAGCAAGAAAAGGAAACCAACTTGTTTGCACAAAAACAAGCTCTTTAAACCTCTTTCTGCTCCCTTTTTTGAGTATGCACTTTTACAGCTTGGTTTTAACATGATGCTCACTGCATGAGAAGACATTAGCAATCCTGAAACAGCACAGTGAATAGAGACAAGATCTGAAGTAGCAGTGTCTTACTAGAGGAGTGAGAAGTAAGCAAAACAGTTTGAGAAAAACCTCCTCTGTTTTAAGTGACATGCTTGTGGGGTGGGATTTGCCGCACTGACAGCCTACCCTCATGGAATTCTGACACCAGCTGGAGAGGCTGGGAATTCCCTCCCCTGACTCCTCCCTTCTGGCTCCGTCATTCTCTGTCTCTTCCGTTCCCCTCATTTCCTCCTAAAGAGGACTGTAATTGGGACGGATCTGAAGTCCAAAACATTAATCTGACTATTGGATTGCAGGAAGCAGAGACTTCTGTATGTGAGTGAGTGATTCCCCCTGCTGGGACCCGAGTAGGTGAGAAGGAACTGAGATTTTTTTTCTACCTCCATGCGAAGGGCCAGGGGAGAAAAGGGCTGTGAAAAGATTTATTAGTGGATTAGTCTCCTAAAGGGGAGAGGTTGTTTTAAAACTGGCCTGCCCAAAGCACTGGGTAATACTCTAGGACACAGTCTTACACTGGCTGAGGAGGGGTAAGATGGGATGCGCTTGGTGTGATTTAATAGTGAACCAGATCTTTCACATTTCTGTGATTGTGGTTTTCACAATCCCTGGGGTGACTCCTAAGGTCAGGCTGACAGACAAATGTTTTCCACCTATCAGGGACTTTCTTCTTACCCAAGAGCAGAACTGACCTGGATGAGATTGTGCATCATTAAAAGAATCCCCTGTTCTTAGTGTGGTTGCCCCAGGAAGGTGATGATACTGCTGTCACCCTGGCCCTTCCTCACTCCATGAACTCCCCAGCTCGTGTCATATGATTATTAATTATTATTTGTATTATTGGAGCACCTAGGAGTTCTAGTCAAGGACCACAACCCCTTTGTGCTAGGTGCTGTATGGACCTCAGTTGTAACCTGGAAACTCTTTGGGGTAGGGACAGAGCCTTTCTGTGTCTCCTGTGAGACACTCAGCACATCTTTGGAAGCTATACAATAATTAATAATTGTAATACAGCTGGTAAAAGGTGCCAGGTTAGTTGAGAGCCCATGGAGATTGCAGCCCTGTATTCATTTTAAATGAAGGGGTGGGGGGAAGGCAAATGTGATATTAAAACTGTATTTTTTACATATATGAAAGTCAAGAAATCTAAGTTATGATCGGTGGGCTAATGGAGCTATTATTAAAACAGTTCCCAACTTGTCCACACTGCAGTGACATGCAAGTGTTTTGGGCAAGAGTCTGAGTGTGCAGATCCCTTGGCAGGGGCAGGGGCTTCGTGTCAGTTTGTATACTTTAAAACAAGAGGAAGTGCAGACTAAGGATTTAGGGCCAGATTTAGGGCCACTCTTACCCCAACATGAGGAATACCTTACTCCATGAATAGTCGCACAGGGTACTTCTCAGTTTGAATAAGGATACATAATTTGACCATTTAGTCTTTAGAGTAAATGACAGGGAGCCTGATTCTCCTCTCACTTACACCAGTGTAAATCTGTCCGTGAAGTTACACCAGTGTAAAACTGGTGTGATGGAGTAGACAATCAGGCCCAGAGAATAATGACTACTTGGTTGCCTTCCAGTCCCTAGTTCTGATACTGGCTCATTGTGTGACCTTGGGCCAATCACTTAACTGGAGTCGTGCAAAACTTGCAGGTTTCAGTTCACAGCTTGTGTCAAACTTTTCTCATAGCGTGTGGTTTCAAACTCTGGAGTCTACCTTTTAGTTTAGGGCCCATTGAAGCCCAGAGTGGCAAAGGTAGAGCTCAGAATGAAACCAGCAAGCATGGTTAAACTTTCTGGATTGGGCACGGTTTCCCTAGGATTAATCAGTACTGCTCACAATTACTAAAATCACTTTAAAAAGGTTTTGAACAGCAACAAAATCTCCGGTATGGTTGGGCAAGATGGAGGACGTTCCTTGCATGTCCAAGGACAAGCAATGGGTTAATAGGTCCTTGATTGTTGGCTAGGACACCATTTCTGAGCCCCTTGGACCAGGTGATAAATGAATCCGGAGGGAAGATCCTGTTCCTCCAACCAAAACTGGTGCTAGCAGATGAGTGACTTGCTTTCAGGGCAGCCAAATATTATCTGACCGTTTAGTGGCTGATTGTGAAAGCCAGCTAGGTGCAGCTTCAGTGTTTGCTTGGGACATCACACAGTGGGGAGGGCAGCCCTGCCCCAAAGCCTGCTGGTTTCTTCCTCTCGCAGGCATTCCTTCACCCTGTACTGAGTCAGCACTGGGGGCTCCTGAGTGGCAGGAGCTGACTGGCACCGACTCAAACACCCCACCCCTAAGCTTTGCTGTTTGGACAGTCTGGTAAGAAGGAGCACTGGCTTAGCAATGGAGGTTATTTCGATTAAGATTTCAGCCATGCTTTTCAAAGCTGGGTGCCTAAATATAGGCACTTAAATAAGGGTCCCGATATGCAAAGGTGCAGACCACAGCCACAGCTCCTATCGACTTCAGGAGCATGTATGGGTGACCAGCACCTCCTGAAAATCAGGGGACTTTTATTTAGGTGCCTAACTTTGGAACTTTGTGTTTGAACATTTTACCTGAATTCTCTACTGCCTGATAAAGGAGAAAAATTTGTTAAATTGCATGTAGGTAATACACAGCATGTCTCCTGGGGATTAATTCTTTAACTGCAGATCAGGCTATCTCTTGATCTCTTTATCTATCTTCAGGGTTTATACTGCCACCTGGCCCTGTAATATCTGAGCATCTTTCATGTAAAATCAAGAGCAAAAGCAGTCTCTAGTGCAGTCTCTAGTGGCTCTTCTCTATACCACAATGAAAGTCTGAATGGGAAATTTTTATTGCTGCTTGGGTTTATCATTTTTTGCTTTACCTCTTCCCCGATGTGTAGTGGGATTAGTTAGGTCTGTAGTTTTTTTTCCTTGTCTAAATATTTTGCTCTGGTGAGAACTGATTCTATTCTTGTCATGTCTTTCTGTTTAAATGACAAACACAAAGCTTAAAAAAACCCCAAACAGACAAAAAAAATCCCCTCACCCGCCCTCTGAGAAAGGTGATATGTCCACAAAGTGCTGGAGAAGCGGAAAGGGAGAAGGCAAAGAGACAATGGAGAGCCTGAGGGTTGTCTACACCGCATTTTGGAGCCTGCGGAAGCAAGTGTCCCAGCCTGGGCTGAGAGATTCAGGCTAGCAGGGCTCATGCAAGTGCTCTAGAATTAGCTGTGTAGACAGCGCTTTGAAATCATGACTTAGGCACTGAAGTCCATCCCCATCCCTAGGCTTCAGAGCCTGAGCCGCAACTTCAAAGCACTATCTACACCAGAGGCGGTGTTACGAATTATACCTGGTAGGACACGCACACCAATGCTGCGAATTACACCTGATAGGTCATGCACAGTTTGAATCTAGGCTGAGGCACAGAAACAAAGTCCACAACTGCAGAGTTCCCAAAAGACACTAAGTTTATTACGCTCAAGCGTGGTGCCCCCCTGCTAGCCAGGGGGGGACCCTGAATACAGATTATACAAAGATTATATACTTTTTAGCAAAGCATGTTGCCCTCGTGCATCGGAAACTTTAGCCAATAAACAAACCCTTGTCTTATCTACCACCTATCCCTGCTTGGTGCATTCCTCGTGCTATACCAGTATGTTAATTACACAGCATGGTCCTAAAGCCATGCATCAGTAACTTTTATTATCAGAATGGGAGGCCTCACATCAAGGCCAAAAGACAGGAAGTTAAAGACTGACAAAAACCAGATACTGGGAGTCAAGGCAGGCTGGAGACAAGGAGGAGGATTTTCACAGGGATTCAGTATCTAAGGATCACTCCTCCTGGTGTACGACGTGCTGGCATTTAAACAATGGTGGGCCCCAAACCAAAATGGAATCACATGTGCTAACTTTTCCTTAACAGTGGGCAGACTATGGCCCGCGGGCCATGTCCAGCCTGCGGGACCATCCTGCCTGGCCCTTGAGCTCCCAGCTGGGGAGGCTAGCCTCTGGCCCCTCCCCCGCTGTTCCCCCTCCCCTGCAGCCTCAGCTCGCTGCGCTGCCCACGCTCTCTGCCGCTCCTGCTCTGAGCAGCATGGTAAGGGGGTGGGGAGCGGGGGGGTTGGATAAGGGTCAGGGGGTCCCCGGGGGCCTGTCAGGGGGCAGGGGGGTGGATAGGGTTCGGGGCAGTCGGGACAGGGAGCGGGGGCGGGGGGGGCGGTTGGATAGGGGGTGGGGTCCCGGGGGGGTGGTTAGCGGTGGGGGGTCCTGGGAGGGGGTGGTCAGGGGACAAGGAGCAGCGGAGGTTGGATGGGTCAGAGGTTCGGGGGTGATGGTGGTCAGGGGACGGGGAACAGGGAGGGTTGGATAGGCGTGGGAGTCCCAGGGGGCAGGGGGGTGGATAGGGGTCGGGGCAGTCAGGGGACAGGGAATGGGGGTGTGTGGATGGGGGTGGGGTCCCGGGGGGGCAGTTAGGGGTGGGGAGTCCCGTGAGGGGGCAGTCAGGGGACAAGGAACAGGGGTGGGGTTGGATGTGTTGCGGGTTCTGAGGGGGGCAGTCAGGGGGCGGGAAGTGGGAGGGGGTGGATAGGGGGCGGGGGCCAGGCTGTTTGGGGAGGCACAGCCATCCCTACCTGGCCCTCCATACAATTTCGCAACCCTGATGTGGCCCTCGGGCCAAAATGTTTGGCCACCCCTGGTCTACACAGCTATTTTTATTTGCTGCAGGCTCCAAAATGCTGTGTACACATACCCTGGGCTTGTCTACACTTGAAACACTACAGCGGCACAGCTGCTCTGCTGTAGCACTTCAGCATAGATATCACCTGTGCCGATGGGAGAGGTTCTCCTGTCGCTGTAGCTAATCCACCTCCCTGAGAGATGGTAGCTAGGTTCACAGAAGAATTCTTCCCAATCTAGTGCTGTCTACATGGGGCCCTAAGTCAGCTTCACTATGCCAGTCAGGGATGTGGATTTTTCATACCCCTGAGCAACATAGCAGGATTGATCTAATTTTCTGCTGTAAGCCAGCCCCCAGTGTTTGCAGGGCTGACACCCTCTTTTGTAAACAAAGCCCATTTGCTGGGGGCTCCTCGTGGGACAATTAACGTGGTCATTGACAGTCAATTTTCAGCCGAGCCACACCCTAATAATCCTTTTCTTTCCTGTCAGATAAAAGGAAACTGAAGATGAAGCCCGCTGCCACCTATGAGCTGCTGGTGGATGGAGTTGGGCAGTGGGATTTTACTGGAGATTTTGTTCCTTGTGAGCTGTTGCTCACAGGAGATACTGCATTCCCGGTGTTGGTAAGCCCTGAGAAGCAGGTTCTGATCGCTGTTTCTCACTATGGGAAGGGCCGGATGGTGGTCGTTTCTCACGAAGAAATCCTGAAGAATCCCAACTTTTCCCGGTTCCTTAGGAACGCTGTGGACTGGCTCCGACCCTCCCCAGAGGTGCAGGTTGGAGTCCAAAGGAGCCTGGATCCCCTCTCTCAGCTGCTCCTAAGGTCCAGCACTAAAGTGCAGCCTGGCGTGGGGCTCAGTGCCTCTCTCGGGGTGTACTGTACTGATGCCTATGACGATGCTCGGGCAGAGGAGCTGGTCCAGTTTGTAAAGGGAGGTGGGGGCCTGCTGATCGGAGGTCAGGCCTGGTACTGGGCTAGTCAACACGGTGTGGAGAAGGTGCTGTTCGAATTCCCTGGGAACCGAGTGACTAGTGTGGCCGGTGTGTACTTCACCGGCAATACAGTGCAGCCAGGGATCTTCAAAGTCTCGGGAAAGATCCCAAAGATCCCCTTGATCGTCCCGTGAGTAACTTTCCCATTATTGGCTTTGCCCCAGTAAAGTACAGCCGAGAGAGATTTACATAAATTCCCTGGAAAGGGGAGAAACACCCCATTTTCAGATATCCGACGGAGGGGGGGGTTTCAGATCATTATCCCAGCAGGGAATGGGGGGGGGGGGTCCTTTAGTTAATCAAACCCTAAATTAAAAAGAGGTGTCCTGGCTAGTCATTTGGCACTGGGTTAAGCTATGGAATCCGAAATGACTGCTTCCCACCCAAGAGAGAATATCAGCAGGGCCATGAGGGTGTGAGCGGGTCATGTCTGTGGGCACTGAGCACTGACTGCCTGGTAGGCTCCAGGGAGCCTATTGCACACAGGATGTGGAGAGCAGTAATAGCCAGTCTTGGACCTTGCTCTTTTCTCAGCTGTGTACTCCAGGGTTGTGTGACATTGCAGGCACCTCAGGCAGAACAGAGAGTGGGGCCCGTAGGGTGTCCAGATAGCAAGTATGAAAAATGGGACGTGGGTTGGGGGTAATAGGCACCTATATAAGACAAAGCCCCAAATGTCAGGATTGTCCCTATAAAATGGGGACATCTGGTTACCCTAGGGCTGAGCCATTCATCATGCCCTAAGCTGTTTGAGGAGGAACACAATGCATCCCTCAGCTTCGGGATGCCCCTGCTGCTGCCACAGCTCTCTTGCCAACAACAGGCAACTAGCTGTTCCCCTGCCCAGCTCTCAGGGGCAGCTTGTCCCCCTGGATCCCACCTGAGCCAGGCCTTCTCAGCCCTCAGGACATTTCTTCCTTTCTTCAGTCCCCTAGGGATTATGGAGCTCTCTACTGGCTGAGTACTGAACTGAGTAACCCAGCGTCCTTCGCTGGTTAGCCTCTTTCCCTGCTGCTCAGCCAAGGTGAGGGGAGGGTACTGAGTAGCAAGCCAGCAGGTTCATTGAAATACTGTATTATTTAAAAAAGAGTTGCAAGAATTAATGGATTTAATCTGCAGCAAGGGGATTTCAGTTAGATAGTAGGAAACAACTTTCCAACTCTAAGGATAGTTAAGCTCTGGAATAGGCTTCCAAGGGAGGTTGTGGAATCCCCATCACTGGAAGTTTTTAAGAACAGGCTGGACAAACGCCTGTCAGGGATGGTCTAGGTCAGTGACACTCAGACTGCAGCTGGCGAGCCTCAAGTGGCTCTTTAATGTGTCTCCTGAGGTTCTTTGCAGCACATGATATTACAACTCTGTGATTTAATTATTAACTAGTCTAAGTTATTAACCAGTCAGGATGCTTTTACAATGTTTTCAACCAATTAAGTTATAAATTTGTATGAAGTTATTAACGTCTTTGCTGTGAGAATAATATTCATATACAAATATTTCCCCATCATACTGTTTACATATGAATAGTCCTATAATAAGTGATACAATGAATTCACGCTACTGTGGCTGTTTTGGGTAATGTTGATCACTAATTTGGCTCCTGAACCACTGAGGTCTAAGTATCACTGGTCTAGATGGTCCTGCCTTTAGATGACCCCTGGAGGTCCCTTCCAGCCCTTCATTTCTATGCTTCTATATTTAAAAAAGTCTAATTAATGAATGTGCTTTAGAAAACACACCGAGTATTCCTTATGTTACTTGGATAACGCACCATGCTTTCGGAGTCTCAATCGCCTCTCACTGAAGTCAGCGGGAAGTCTCCTATTGGCTCTGGCAGGAGTTGGATGGAGCCTTTATGTGTTGTGATGATACATGAAATGCAGCCGTCTTGTGGGTGGAGCCCGGCAGACTGCACGAGGCCAAGAACAATCGGTGTAAAGCTTTGGGCTCACACCAGAAACTAGACAAGCTCGCAGCTGGCCCCAGAATCCAGGCCATGCCCAGCCATCTTCTTCCTGCCCCCACTCCCAAGCTGTGCCTGGCCCAGTTCAGAATCTGGGCTTCTGACTTGCACAAAGTGCAATGGGGTCTTTAATGACCACAACTGTTGCTTTGCTTTCACTATGTGGCCACTTCATTTCATGTAGTTAAACCCACAGCTGTTGTAAGAAAATTTTCCCCACAGATTTTTGTCGCCCCAGTCCCTTCCCCTTCCCTAGCACTGTTAATGAAACTCCATTTCTCTCTTCCAGCTGCATGACTGGTTTTGTTGCTCTTTAGATGCTGGGTTTGTTTTCCTACAAAGGTAAAGAGAATCTTTGCTGTAGGATGCAGAAAGGTACTCAGGACACAACTACAAATTAATGTAATTAAGTTACTTATTACAAGTTGCTGATTGATTGTCATGTTCTCACCTGCAGGGCACTGGAGGTGAGATTTTCCTCTCAGGAAAGTTATATGGAGATGATTGTGCTTTGGGAATTTTTACTTAGGGGGGAATTCACCCTATTTTGAGAGTTTAAGTGGGGCTTAAAAGGTGCATTCACCTTGTTCTGGCCCTCGGCATAGGAATAAATTTCACCCATAGCAAATAAAACTGAGCTTTAAGGCCACCAACATGCCACAGGGATTGGTGTCCTGTGTGGCAAAGAAGCTGGGAGAAGAAATCAAATGAGGAGCCCAGGGTTTTTAATTCCTGCCCTATGGACACATGGGTGTTATTTATTCTCACACTTTATCAAGTGGTTGGTTTTTTCGTTTGGGTGGAAAATCCAGACGTTCCAAATAGCAGCAGATTCATCACAAGTGACAAAGGGAAAATGAAGTTTGGTAAAATGATACAGCAAAGGGGGAAATAAAACGAAAGCACTCGACACGGCTTTAACAGCAAGAGCCATGCAGGGGCAGCAGAAGGTAAAATGAGAAGTATGAGTGAAGCAAAATAGGAGCATTGGGAAGCAGAAGTTAATGGATAGGAAAAGGGTGGCTACGCTTTACAGAGATCAGAGACTTGTTTCAGATTGAGTCACTGAGATTCTATATATACACACACAGACAGAGGCAGTCCTCTCTTCTGAGCAGTAGCAGTGGGATAGTTAAGGAAAAGGCACTGGCAAATCTTTCAGGCTTGACTAGAGAATGCATTTCTGAGGTGGCTTAGGCATGCTAGGCCTCATGGTTTTGCCAATGCCAGGGGTTCAAAAATCATGAATCAGGCCAGTGGAGATTGGCTTAGAAATCAGAGTTAAAACAACCCAAAACACAGACTAAAGGTTGGGTTCTTTTTCTTTGGTCTCCTGGGTTCGGAGCCTCTAGATCACAGCTGGGACACATTTTCAAGCTCAACTCTGCAGGCTACAAATGGACTCTTTAAAAATGAAGGCTGAGGCTGCAGCAACTGGGGAGTTCAGAAAAACTCCACCTGGCACCAGAATCCCTATAACATTGTGAGGGGCAGCACCATAGAGCGTGGGCAGGGGAGGAGATGGGCTAGGGGTGGCCTGTTGGGTGCCCCTAGCATCCCTCATGATTCTGTGATTGTATAAAGGATGTCGGGATTGGGCCTAAACAGGGGTGCCTCTTGATTTTGCAGGCACGGGGCTAATCTCAGCCAGGATGTAGAGCTTCTCCTCAATGGTGTGTCGGAACTGGATATAGTGACGGGTGGGGTGCCCTCCCCCCTGCTGGTGCATGGGGTGCTGGCCTTCCCACTCGGCCTGGACAGCTCCCACTGCTGCTTCCTTGCTGCAGCGCGCTATGGCCGGGGCCGGGTGGTGGTGGCATCTCATGAGGGCCAGCTGTGTGCCCCGAAGCTGGTAGGGTTCCTGCTCAATGCTGTACGCTGGCTGGATGCTGGGAGGCAGGGGCTGGTTGGGGTTGCTGCCCACCTGAAGGGGCTGTGTTCCTTGCTGGCCCAGGAGGGCCGGAAGTATCGGGTATCATCGCTGGCGAGCGACATGAGCGTCTACTGCTGCCCTTCTCACAGCGACCAAGAGGCGGAGAAGATCCAGGCCTTTGTGGCGGAGGGGGGAGGGCTGCTGATTGGGGGGCAGGCCTGGTACTGGGCCTCCCAGAATCAAGGCCAAGCTGCCGTTGCCGGTTACCCTGGCAACAAAATCCTCAACCGCTTTGGGATCAGCATCCTGGGCATGAACCTCAAGGCAGATACATACCCAGCGCTGCTCCCGGGGGAGCTTCTCCATCACTACCACTTCCGTCAGGCACTCTCCCTCTTCCAGAGGCACGTGGAAAAGAAGGAGGCACTCGGAGCCCCCCTGGCAGACTGGCTGCATAGGCTAGGGCAGGACTGTTCTGCCTTCCTGAGGATCCCAGCTGAAGACTGTCCGGCGTTCTCCTCACTCCACCGCATCCTGCTCAAAGTGCTGCGCAGAGGCGGGATCCCGCAGGTCAGCAAGAAGAACCCAATCAAGAGCAACTCCAAGGAGGCAGCCCTGCTGTGCCTGGCAACACAGCTGTCCCAGACCATGACGGACTGTGCTGTCCTGGTTGAGAAACCCACCGATGGGGTCTGCATGCTCCCATCCAGCTGCCCTATCACCCTGGAAATCGATGGCACTAATACAGGTGAGAGGAGCAGTCTTTCCACCTTCCCCATGTAGAATTACATGGAAAACGTGTCACACACACACACTCCTGTTGAGATTGCACTATCACACCAAAACTCATACTTCCCCATGTGCCAATAACACATATAACACAGGCTGTTTCCGCCAATCAGATGGGTTGGTGTCAAGCTTGTACATTTGCTTGTGATTATGGGGCACTGCGTGTGTGCGCTGGGAGTGGTTCCATGTTAGAAGTGACAGTGTTGTGGAGTTGCAGTCTGTGAGTGTATGATGTAAGGGGTGTGAGTGGTGGCTTAGTTGGTGATAGACTTTTTTTGGGCTGGATGTGGAGTCTTTATTCACACTGTTGCACACTTACTCACACAGGTAGTCCAATGACCTTCAGTCGAGGAGGGGCTCGACAACCTGGCACTAAGTAATTGTGCTGAAATACACTTGATCAACCTTAACTCCAAGTAAAGGGAGGGTTTCTGCGTGGGCAGTATAAAGAGCTCTGAACTCAGCTGCTTATCACAGCTTTACAGTCTCTGCTGGGCAGCTGATGTTTGCAACTCCCTAGGGTGGCTGTCTAGAAACAAGTCTTACTATAGTGAAATGTCAGGGTACTCATGCTTTAGTTAGGGCTAGGGGGAAAAAGCCCCTTATGCTAAAATTTCTCACGCTTTCAGTCAAGCAGCACATTGTCAGCAAGTCTGGTAACACACAGGCCAATTCTGAGAGTTCTGAGCAAGAAAAACATCAGATTATTTCTTCGCACTCTGGCAACTCAAAACTGCATTACTTTAAGCATGGAAATGGGCAGGGGCCAGGAGTGCTGAGTAAGGCCTCAGTCCTCAAGGTATTTAGGTGCCTAACTCCCATTATTTTCACTGGGAATTAGGTGCCTGCATGCCTTTGAAGACCTGAGCCTAAGTGCTGTGTATTCAGACCTATCTTCTGTGGTTCCCTACAGGTGGAACAGCATGGATGAGTACAGGACTTTACCTACCTGATGGGAACACAGCAGTGTTAACGTTTCCTTGCATGGCGACCAGTGCTGGTCTGCAGGTAATTTCTGTTAACCCGGCTGGCTTTTATACATGGATACATTTGTGAGGTACCCATATCAGCGAGATGAGTTGAAACTGTTCTCAAGGATCAGTCTGTATTATGCCTAGGCCTGCTCCTTTCTCATTCCTTATCCTCTGCTGTCACCTTGTGGCTGTTTCCTGCCATTAAGTTTTTAAAAATTCCTCACAATTTCCTCTGCCCTCTCTTGACTGTTCTTTGCCTCCCCATTTTGCTTTGTTGGTTGGATTATTTCACAGCTCTCACTGCTCCCCAAGGTGATGTGCTCGCCAAGCTATCTCTGCTTCATTGTAGTAGTGCAGGGAAGCAAGGGAAGGTGGGGAGGGGACCAGGCAGCCACTGACACTGCAGCAGGACCTTGTGCAATAATAAGCTGCAGACACCCCTGTGTTACCTTACAGGACTCAGATGCTGGTGCAATGAGCCCTGGAGACTGGATTTCTCCCTAACTAGGGATGCCAGAGACAACAGCTGAGTCAGCATCTCACCCACACGTATTTTCTCCAGTTTGCTTCCTCTTTGCTCTCAAGGGACACCTCTAAGGGTACGGGGGAGTTCAGCCACTGTGGCCCTGTCAATCCATGGCCCCTGTGCTGAGACTGCTAATGAGGGAGGCATTCCAGCCCAGGTCCTCAAAGGTGCCAAACTCCCAGTGAAATCAGTCAAGCCACCTAAGTACCTTTGAGGACCTTAATGCTAGGGCTGTAGATGGCTTTGTGAGGGGTACAGCTTCCCTGTTATGAGCTACACTGAGCTTTATGAACTCTTGTTTCACATGCAGCAGTCAGACAGCAATTGCGACAGGGCTGGATTGCAATCAGTGCCCCGCAACTGTGTGTGCTCTACTGCAGACAGGCCCTAAGGCAGAGGGGTGGGGTTGCAATCTGGAGCCTGGAGCGCTTGACCCTGCTCTTCCCCGCCCTTATGTTCCCCAGGTGCAGATCGGGTGTCACTCTGATGACCTCACCGCTGCAAAGGAGCTGAAACGGGCCCCCATGGTGATACGCAAGTGCCAGGTCAGCTGCCAGAGGCAGTCAGTCTCCTGCCTTTGGGGCGGCCTCATTTACATCCTTGTGCCAAGGGGAAGCCAGCTGGGCAAAGTGCCCATCACTGTCGAAGGGACAGTCAAGGTTCCCTACTTCAGACTGGGTAGGTGTTCATCCCTTGGGGCCTTTCCCCTCTCAATGTGGTGCGTGTGGGCACCCAAACCAAAATGTGCAGCATTAAATATAACCAGAGTCCAAATGGTTAAAATCAGAATTGGCAGAAAAATGACAAACTGGGACTGTTTTCTTTCTTTGTTGTTTTTTAAACCATCTTTTTTGCTGAAAACTGTCAACTTTTTATTGCCCTTTTGAAAGATTTCCACCAGCCCTTTTCTCAATCTTCCCCTTTTCCTCTGCTGCCCGTGTGTGGCCATTTCCTGTCACTACGATAGAAATTGACAACTGCCCCTTTGATGTGCTTGCTGCATTTCCCATCAGTCTTCTCTTTATTGGTTTATGAAATTTCTTTTTTCCTTCATCAGTCCAAACAAAACCAGTGTGTTGCTATTTGATGCCTGCTGATCTCATTCGGTGGAGGAGAAGTCACTTAGAGAAATGTGGACAGCAACTCAGGTGTCCCCTGTGAATCATCCTGTATTGATTTGGTTTTGCTTTGGTTTTTTGGGGGGAGGAATGAAGTGGATTTGGGGCCCACTTTTCACAAGCCATGGACTTGATTTTCCCATAACGTACTTAAATAGCATGACTAAGTTTGGATGTATGGGGGGACGACTCATCTCGTATCTTTACATAATAACTAGACAGGAGGCTCAGCAGTGAAATGAGGAAGGATCTAGTGCTTAAGGCAATGGGCTGAGAAATTGGCGAATTGAGTACTGTCCTTGGCTCTGCCATAGCCTTACTGTGTGGCCATGGGCAAGTCACTTAATCTCTGTGCCTCAGTTCCCCAGGTGGACACTACTGGGGACAGTGAGAGTTCCTAGGAATGCTGTGAGGATTAACTTATTAATGCCCATCCAGCACTTAAAAAATATGAAGTGCTCTAAAAAATGCCAAGTACTATTATTCCTGAGAGGAATTCATGATGAAGTCACATATTTTCAGCCAACACTCAGAGAGTGTAACTGAGAGACTGGGGTACATTTAATGTGTTTTCCATGTTGCTACAGGAGAGACCTGTAAATGCCAGTGGCTGGCCAGCATCCGGCACTACCCTGCTCCCTGGGCCGAACTAGCTACTGAGAACATTATCCTGACTGTGCCTGCTGACAGCATCCGCCATATAGAGAACCCAGAGCCTCTTCTGACCCTCTGGGACCAGATCATGCTGGCTATAGCTGAGTTGGCAGCGGCACCAGCGAAGTTCCCAAGGCCAGAGAGGATTGTAACAGACGTCCAGATCTCAGCTGGTGGGTGTATGGCCGCATGGTCCTAGCAGGGTTTCCAAAAGAAGGGCTTTAGGCAGCAACTTTAATTCATTCAAGGCTTTTTTGTTAAACTGAAACTTCAGACAAATGCAATGAGTCAAATAAACATGCAACCCGCATAGAGCTGAATGTTTTTAGTCCCTCATGGTGCTTCTCTGTGTCCTTAAGGGTGTCCATAGAATCATAGAAGATTAGGGTTGGAAGAGACCTCAGGAGGTCATCTAGTCCCACCCCCTGCTCAAAGCAGGACCAACCCCAACTAAATCATCCCAGCCAGGGTTTTGTCAAGACAGGCCTTAAAAACTTCTAAGGATGGAGATTCCACCACCTCCCTAGGTAACCCATTCCAGTGTTTCACCACCCTCCTAGTGAAATAGTTTTTCCTAATATTCAACCTAAACCTCCCCCACTGCAACTTGAGACCATTGCTCCTTGTTCTGTCATCTGCCACCATTGAGAACAGCCGAGCTCCATCCTCTTTGGAACCCCCCTTCAGGCAGTTGAAGGCTGCTATCAAATCCCCCCTCACTCTTCTCTTCTGCAGACTAAATAAGCCCAGTTCCCTCAGCCTTCCTCATAAATCATGTACCCCAGCCCTCTAATCATTTTCATTGCCCTCTGCTGGACTCTTTCCAATTTGTCCACATCCTTTCTGTAGTGGGGGCCCCAAAACTGGATACAGTACTCCAGGTGTGGCCTCACCAGTGTCGAATAGAGGGGAATAATCACTTCCCTCAATCTGCTGGCAATGCTCCTACTAATGCAGCCCAATATGCCCGTAGCCTTCTTGGCAACAAGGGCACACTGCCGATGCCTGTCCAGCTTCTTGTCCACTGTAATCCCCAGGTCCTTTTCTGCAGAACTGCTGCTTAGCCAGTCGGTCCCCAGCCTGTAGCGGTGCATGGGATTCTTCCGTTTTCAGTGCAGGACCCTGCACTTGTCCTTGTTGAATCTCATCAGATTTCTTTTAGCCCAATCCTCCAATTTGTTTAGGTCACTCTGAATCCCATCCCTACCCTCCAGCGTATCTACCACTCCCCCCAGTTTAGTGTCATCCACGAACTTGCTGAGGGTGCAATCCATCCCATCGTACAGATAATTAATTAAGATGTTGAACAAAACTGGCCCTAGGACCGACCCCTGGGGCTCTCCGCTTGATACTGGCTGCCAACTAGACATAGAGCCATTGATCACTACCTGTTCAGCCCGACGATCTAGCCAGCTTTCTATCCACCTTATAGTCCATTCATCCAATTCATACTTCTTTAACTTGCTGGCAAGAATACTCTGGGAGACTGTATCAAAAGCTTTGCTAAAGTCAAGATATATCACATCCACCACTTTCCCCATATCCACAGAGCCAGCTGTCTCATTATAGAAAGCAATTAGGTTGGTCAGGCATGACTTGCCCTTGTTGAATCCATGTTGACTATTCCTGATCACCTTCCTCTCCTCTAAGTGCTTCAAAATGGATTCCTTGAGGACATGCTCCATGATTTTTCCGGGGACTGAGGTGAAGCTGACCGGTCTGTAGTTCCCCAGATTCTCCTTCTTCTCTTTTTTAAAGATGGGCCCTACATTAGCCTTTTTCCAATCATCTGGGACCTCTCCCAATCGTCAGGAGTTTTCATAGATAATGGCCAATGGCTCTGCAATCACATCAGCCAACTCTCTCAGCACCCTTGGCCCCATGGACTTATGCATGTCTGGCTTTTCTAAATAGTCCTTAACCTGTTCTTTCACCACTGAGGGCTGCTCACCTCCTCCCAATACTGTGCTGCCCAGTGCAGCAGTCTGGGAGCTGACCTTGTCTTTGAAGACCGAGGCAAAAAAAGCATTGAGTACATCAGCTTTTTCCACATCATCTGTCACTAGGTTGCCTCCCCCATTCAGTAAGGGTCCCACACTTTCTCTGACCTTCTTCTTGTTGCTAACATACCCATAGAAACCTTTCTTGTTACCCTTCACATCCGTTGCTATCTGCAACTCCAGTTGTGCTTTGGCCTTCCTGATTACAACCTCCATCTGTCTCAGCAACAGAATTGTTGATTAAATTTCAGCGATAGGGCTTTATAGTTACACCTATGCAAAGCTACTGAAAATAAGGTTCAGCAGGGTCACTGAGGGAAGAATTTAAACTGTAGAACCTTTATTGCTGGTGACAATGGAAAAGAAGGAACAAACCCAGCTTGACTCTGAGTCCAGGACGAGTTGCAATATTGGCATCTGGAAAAAAACAGAGCACATTTTTACTTGTAAACAGAGCACATCTGATCTAGAGTCACTTAGATTTGAAATATGGAGCCTCAGGAGGCTGTTTTTACTGTCACTTTTCAGAGCAGCACTTTGGGTGAAATTCTTCACCATGCAGAGAGTCAGCACAAGGTCTGTGCTCAAACGCTAAACTCCTGACCCCTGGTTAAGTGACATGGAAATATTTAGTGTGGAAATAAACTTAGTGTTAACTTCTGTTATCTTGGGCGGCTGCCAGTTAGGGTGATCACATTCTGCTGACTTAAAATTCCTCAGGGATTTCTAATGGACTAATGTTTTGCCTCTTTCTTGAGCTCTTGCAAAATGTTGTTGGGGGCTGTTGAACAGCTCCTGTGCTCCTCCCGAGAGGGGACACTGTGTGACAGGCGAAGTGATTCTTGAAATGCAGATGTAGATAGTGTATGTGGTTTGTGAAGTGCTTCGGGACCCTTCAGGAAGATGCATTTTCCAGGGCACTCAGGAACTGAACGTGGGTCTCCCTACTCTGCCACAGCCTTCCTGTGTGACTTTAGGCAAGTCACTTAGACTGCATCCACCAGGTGTGATTGCAGCTCATGCAGACCTACCCAAGCTGTCGTTCATCTACCTAGCTCAGGTACTGGAGCAGTGTAGCTGCGGCAGCACAGACATTAGCGTGGGTTACCTGTGTGAGTAATAATCCAGGGCGAAGGGCTGGCTTGTGCAGCCCGCACTGAAGCCCAGGGTGGTGCAGCCTCACAGCGCCGGTACCTGCACTAGGTAGATCACAGCTAGCTTGGGGGCACTTGCACGAGCTGCAGCGGTATTGCAGTGCAGACATACTCTTAGCCTTCTGTGCCTTGGTTCCCATCTGTACAATGGGGATAACAGCCCAGCCCTGCCTCACAGGGGTATGGTGCGGATAAAAACATTAGCGATGGTGAGGTGCTCAGATAACTAAGGCACTGAGGGCCTTATTCCTCAGCTAGAGGAAAGGCCCTATGGAAATGGGTAGGAATTACTTAGTCATAATTTAGTAAAACAGCATCCATAGTGATCAAATGTGCCCTAAGCGTGTCTGAGAGTTTGGTGTTGGGTTGAGCACTCCCCATGTCTTCCCTCCAGGCTGGATGCACGCTGGCTACCCCATCATGAGCCACCTGGATTCGGTGAAGGAGATGGTGAATGTGGAACACATGCGAGCCACCGGCTTGTGGGGCCCAATCCACGAGCTAGGACACAACCAACAGCGAGCAGGCTGGGAATTCCCCCCTCACACTACTGAGGCCACCTGCAACCTGTGGTCTGTCTATGTGCATGAGAAGGTGCTGGGGATCCCCAGGGACAGAGCCCACCAGGCCCTCCAGCCACAGTGTCGGAAGCAGAGGGTCACAGGTTATCTGGAGAAAGGGGCTCAGCTGAAGGACTGGAGCGTGTGGACTGCGCTGGAGACGTACTTGCAGGTAACTATGAGAGAGGCGGGGTTGGAGATGGAGTGTTTTCATTGCACTCAGTGATCTCTTTGAGAGATAAACATCCTCAGTCTGGAGTCTTCAGCCCACACAAACATCTGCTCAGGAGCTGGACTTGTCCTAGGTCTATAAAGCACCCAGCAGGCATATGGATGGCTCAGTCTGCCATAGTGTTTCTCCAGGCCCGCTCTCTGCTGCAGGACTTTGGCAGATGGCATTGGCTCCTTTGCCTTGGTGGCGAAGCCCATCTCCCTTCTGGGCAGGAAAACAGGAGCTGTTGCTCTGCTTCTTTGCACGTTAAACTCAATAGGTGGTTAGTGCCTAAATACCTTGGAGAATCTGGGCCCTAGTTTCTCTGTGGCATCCGTGAAACAGGGATAACACTGCTGCCCTCCCTCACAGGGTGCAGTGAGGAGAAATACAGAGATAACAATTGTGAGGTGCTCAGTTACTAGGGTAGTGGGGGCCAGGTAAGTACTGCAGATGAGAGTGGGGGAGCTGTGGTTCAGCTGCCTTCCCATTCTCCCCCACCGTCCCTCAAGTGGCCATTGGTTGGACTGAGAGGCAGCAGTGGTGGCAAGCCCTCCCGAGCTGGGCAGTGAAAACAAGCCAGTGTTGTTCCTGCCACCAGTCCACAGAGCCCCTGAGGCTCTTCTTGCCTCTCAGCAGAGGAGAAGAAGCCAGGGCCTATGCATAGCGCTCCCAGTCTGGAAACATAGGAATTGCCGTACTGATCAGAGCTGAGGGCCAACCAGTTGAGTGTCCTGTCTCTGACAGTGGCCTCACCAGATGCTGCAGAGGACGGTGTAAATCCCCCCTCTCTCCCTCCATCATTTAGTAGTGTTCGTATAGTACCCTGGAGATGCCTTACATACATATAAGACGCGTCCAGATTGTAAGGTCATTAGGGCCCAAATAGACCTCACACGGGCCAAGGAGAAGAGAAGAGGATATGACACGCTTTCTGTATGATCCCCCACTGTCACCTCTAATTTAACCTAACCTTGATCGTTAACCCTAATCCCCAGCCCATGCCCAGCCCCCTTTTGCTTTGAACTAATTCCTCAATTATTTTTATTTTTGAAAATAACCCCCCGAAATCCTGTTCCAGGCCAAAGTATGCCCCACCTACAATCTCCCCTCCCCCATCCTCCATTCCCCCTCCCCCCAGCCTTTATACCACCTTCCTCTCTTGACAGTCCTCTCCTTCCCTCGGTGCAAATTACCCTCCGCCGCATCTATTAGCCGCTGCCAGACTGCAGGGAGGTTCCTGGGGCTGTGACACCAGGCTGCTGCTGCTAGCAACTGCAGCTTGGGTCTCTGAGCTATTATGTAATTGTGTGCCTATGGGAGATGTTTCTTCCTGTCCTTAGGCAAGTTGTCTTATGCCCAGAACCATGAGGGTTTGTCACCTTCATAGGTTTTTCCCCTGTCTAATGTATCTGCAGGTAACATTTTAAAATGACAGGTTTCAGAGTAACAGCCGTGTTAGTCTGTATTCGCAAAAAGAAAAGGAGTACTTGTGGCACCTTAGAGACTAACCAATTTATTTGAGCATGAGCTTTCGTGAGCTACAGCTCACTTCATCGGATGCAAGTGAGCTGTAGCTCACGAAAGCTCATGCTCAAATAAATTGGTTAGTCTCTAAGGTGCCACAAGTACTCCTTTTCATTTTAAAATGAGAATGTCTTCCACGAGGGAACAATGAATGCCTGTGAATTGAGAGGCACAAAGGTTAAATTTAGATCAGTGAAGGGTTCTGTTTCCATATTCATGACATGGTCATTACTATTCCTGATTGCATCGTGAGGCTTTGCCTGAGGTGGGATCAAGCACAGGCTCTCATGTTATACTCGGGGACCAATATCGTGTTTTTAACACTTCTCTTCCTTGCCCCTCAGCTGCAGGAGGGCTTTGGCTGGGAACCCTTCATCCTCCTCTTCTCTGACTACCAGAAAATGCCCAATGTCCCCAAGGACAACCCCTCCAAGATGAACCTGTGGGCAGAGAAGTTCTCTCAGCAGGTGAACAAGAATCTGGCTCCTTTCTTTCTGGCCTGGGGCTGGCCCATCAAGGATGAAGTCTCCTTGAAACTGGCTTCTCTACCAAACTGGGAGGAGAACCCAATGAAGCTACATGAACCTGGGAAGAAATAAAATCTGAGCACTTAGTCTTCAAAACTAATCCAACAGCCACTTACCTTTCCTTTAAGCTGTACCAGAGTTTTCATTGGTCTAGCTGGTATACTTAATGGTGCCTCAGTGCAGGGGGCTGTTCTAGATGATATCTCGAGGTCCCTTCCAGGCTGACATTTCTATGATCATGCCAACACACTGATTCCGATTTTATATCCACAACCTCTGTTCTTCACTGGACAGTGGGATATGGACTTACTATTTCCCTATCTTTTCCCTGAATTCCATAGCTTGTTGCTCTCTGCGTGAAATCCCCTCCCTTCCTCCGTGCAGAGGGTCAGCAAAGGCCTATGTGATATCCAAATTTCATGTAAACCTTGAGAACTTACTTAGTGCATAGGGCTTGTGCTGACCCTCTGCCTAGGGGGGAATTTCATCCCTAGCCTGTCAGTTTGACCATGTCATCTTCTCTTTGCATCCCTCTCTTGGCTCCTATCACATCAAACAGAAGCCTCTGGTCTTTATTTTCAAGGCCCTTCCTGGCCTACCTCCACCCTACCTATCATCTCTCATTTGCTATCGAAATGTTTACTCCCATCTTTGATTGGCCCATGTTTCCAGCTTCCCTCATCCCCTTGTTAAATTTTCAAACAAGCACCCTTGTGCTTTTTCCCATGCTGCCCCTCATGCTTGGGAGGAACTCTCCATAAACATCCATAGAGCTACCTCCTCCTCCTCCTTCAAAACCCTCCTTAAACCTCTCTTTTGCCATGATACCTACACAAAACTTGCCAATGTAGTAGGCTGTTGTGGTGTGCTGAGATCACACACTATCATACTGACCAATGCTGTTTCACTGTTGCCTTGTACTCTCCCATCGGCTTGTCTGTGCCCATCTGTTGTCTCTTGTCTCATACTTGGGGCAGGTCTATACTACAGTGGGAATCGACGCTCTGAGATCGATCCACAGGCAGTCGATTTAGCGGGTCTAGTAAAGATCCGCCAAATTGACTGTAGACCTCTCTCCAGTTGACCCCTGTACTTTACTCCCGACAAGAAGAGTTAGGTAAGTCGACAGGAGATTTTCTCCCATCAACCACCCCCCCCGCCACCCACGGTGTAGACCCTGTGGTAACTCGACCTAAGGTACGTCGACTCCAGCTACGTCATTCACATAGCTGGAGTTGCGTAGCGTAGGTTGACTTACCACGGTAGCGTAGACATAGTCCCTGGCCCAAAGAGCTTACACTCTAAGGCTGTCTTTTTTTCTTCTGTGTTTGTATAGCTCCTAGCACAATGAGGTTTTGGTCCTTACCTAGAGCTATGGACTAGGGGGCCTACATGCTCTGGTAATATAAATAATGAGCAATAAATAATACACAATAGGGATGAAATGGCCACCCAGTGGCAGCAGAGCGTAAAGGAATGAAAGTGTTGTAATTAGATGACTGAACAGGTGCGTTGTGGAAGTGGCTGTGGCCGTAGTTAGGATATTTAATGAGAGTGAGCTATGGTCTGACCCTATCTGACAGGGAAATGGGATACTAGATGGTCCTGTGGTCCTTTCTGGAGTGCAGGAAATGGGATAACAAGCTAGATGAATCAGTGATTTAATCCTGTGTAGCAGACGGCTGGACTAGAGAGGACAGAGGCCTGATCTGGATAAGGAGGAGGTTAGGCACTGGACAGTGAAAGGGAACAATGCTGTTCTGGTACGCTAGAATCAAGCAGAGCAAGAGCTTGCACACCAGTGTGGGTGGAATAATGATTGAATATAGTATTACTTAAATGAAACTCTCCTCTGCTAGAGAGTGAATAAATTATTTCCTTGAGGCAATGCAATTTCTTTGCATGGTATTTTGAGAAACAAAGAATGCTACTGGATATTAATTTAGGGTCACAGTCAGTTTTTCTCCAGGGCAGAAGTCAGGAGAGATTCTCCTCCTCTTTGTAGTCTCTCTGGATGGAAACAGGCGTGGGTGAGAGGGAAGTGGTGTGATTTCCTAATAGGTGCGCCTCTTGTAAAATCTTATCACCAGCAACTTTAAATAAGGCCCTCCGGCATTTACTGTTTACAAGTTACAGCATCACTTTCAATGACCAGCCTTTTAATTAGACCCAAAGAGATTTTTTTCAAGGTTGCCCTCTGAGCCGTTCACTGCTGCGTGTTTGAACCAAGACATTGGTGTTTAGAACAGCAGTAACTCAGGGCCTACCAAAGTCAATGGAAAGATTCCAATAGAGCCTGTGAAATAGACTTGAATGGGATCCGCAGAGCTGAAACAATTCAGAGGCAGCCAGTCATGAAGCATGGCACCTCTTTCTTATTCCCTTGCACTCTTCTCTCTCCTTGTCACAGTTTCATAGAATTAATTCTCATCCCCTTTCCTTCTGCTTACTGTAGTTAACATCAGCAATTTGTATTTAACTTTTCAGGAGTTTTCCCCTTTTATTTCCTCTTTGTTGTTTTATTAAACTCAGTCTCTCCCCATTCAATCAGATAGTCAGAGTCACTGCTCTCTGTGTATGTGTTACTTCTTTATATTGTTTTTATTGCATTCAAGGTAAACAGAAAGAAGATAGTTATATGGGAACTGGAGAGTATTAAGTGTTAGAGAACACAAGTAAAATAAAATCTGTATTATGGGTCTGGTTTGTTTGTTTTTTTTACTGATTTATCCACAGTGATAAAGGGACATTGTCAGGCATCATTTAGGTTCTAAATCTAGGATTTCTTAATCAAAGGTATATCATTTATTATAGGGAATGTCAACCTTAATTTCGGCCCTCTTGTTCACATTCATTTTGACACTGTCTTTAATTACATTATCACATACAGTTTTTTCCACAGGACTCTGACCTCATTCAGGACAGGACAGATGCACCAATAAATCTGGCTTTTCCTATCTTTGGAGTGCTTGACTTTGCCACCTCAGTAACGTTTTTTTAGCATTTTTGTATGTTTTTATGTACACATCTCCCCTGCACCACACGCACATATGACAACATAATATTGATGGCAAGAGTACATTTTCTGTAACTACTGTATTTTTAAAAATATGAATGACAAGCAATTAAAAACAAAACAATTAAAGGAAATTTGCAAGGGCACTCAGGGCTAGATCCACAAAGAGACTTGGGCACCTAAGTTCCCCGTTAGGTGAGATCCTCAAAGCCCCTGCTTAGCAGCCACCTAACTCTGTTGGTACCTATGTTTCTGACGGTACGTAAAAAATTGATTCCTCCTGATGCTACTAAGTTGCTCAGTGCCCTTGTTCAAGCTTAAGCCTGGGTGGGCTTAAGCAGGAGAGAGTGTGTCCCAGTGGTGGGCATTTGCCTGGGATATGCGATCCCCATGTTCAAATCCCCATGCTGCCTAGTTTGGTCCAAGGGCTTGTACCCAGCTCTCCAGCCTCCAAAAAGATTTGACCTGGGCTGTTTCTCTCTCACTCTCCTTTTGGCAAGACTGGGTTGACCTGGTTTAGGCACTTAACTCCAGGAGAGGGTTCATGGCTGTGAATCTAACTACCTTTGAGGGGTGGAGCTTAGGCCTCAGCATTTCCTATTGGCTAATGTAGCTTGCTGGCTCTGTGAATCCCTTTCTTAGGTGCCTCTCTCTCTCCATACAATGCATGGGGAGCCTCAAGAGCAGATTCACAAAGTTTCTTAGGTGCCTAACTCCACATTTGGGCTGTGAATTCCACTGGGTGACATGTTGCCTAGGAGTTAGGTGTTGCAACACCTAAGTTCCCTTTGTGAATATAACCTTCAATGCCTTGTTATTAAGCCTCAGGAGGGAGCATGGATTTACAATGAACAGATCTTGCCCGAAAAACTAGTTTTTGCATTTTGTGACAGGATTACAAAGTGAGTGGAGGAAGGGAATGTGCTAGATGTCCTGAGTATGGATTTTAGGAAAGCTTTTGATGGTGTCTCATGAAATCTCATTCTGTAAAGGAATCCAAATTATCTTGGATATAAATATTGGTGTGTGTTGATTTAAGCCCAGCTCAAGGATTGAACTCTAAACAAGGAAAGGGTAATGATAAATGACAAACTATTGTGGGCCTGACTGAATTCCTCCTGAAGTCAATAGAAGGACTCCCCTTGACTTCACTGGGCTTTGGATCAGGCCCTGAGTTTGGAAGAGTGTGTTGCAGAGAACCATAGGGTACATTATTAGGTCTAGCCTTCATTAGTTATCTGGAGTGGGGAGTAAACAGTGGGCTAATTGCAAACCCCAGTGAGGACAGGAAAATAACACAAAGAGACCTCAGTGGGATTTGAGGTCATGTGCTTGAAGTTAGGGTTGTGCTTTGCTGGACTGGGGCCATAATCTGTAGTTGCTGTTCTCTCCCCTCCAGTGTTTTAACGTGATATGCTTCAGTGAGCACCAGGAATCCCCACCCATACTTTTTGACCAGAGACTACTTTGTCCCAATCTGGAGGACATTTAAAAGTCCACAGTGTGAGTAGTCATATGAGAGCCCATTGATTTACACAGTTTTTTAATACCAGCCTCAGCAGCAAGTTAATTGCTTCCTTTTTCTGCCCTTGATTAGTACAGCTGGACTGGGATGGCTATGACCTGTGGCTCACAGCCTGGAGGCTAACAACCAGAAGACAAGCATGCAGAATCCTTTGTGTCTTTACGCTGTGCAGCCCTGGTTCAGTGTGCTGTTCCTACAACACAGCAGGCCCCACTCTGGTTTCCGCCAGCCTTGGTTACTCCATGCAGAGGTGACTCTCAGCACACTCCCAAATTTCCCCAAAGCCACCTGCCCTGAAGTGTCCAGCCCTCTCCTTCATTTGCTCCTTCTGCTGTTTACTCATCCGTACACTTTCCTTTACTCTATCTCCTTCCCAAAATAAACAAACAGAAAATAATAAAACCATAACCTTTCTTTGGACTGTTCCCAGCCTCCACACTTGTAAATCCCTGACAGGTGTTTTACCAGAGCTTGAGGTATAAACCTCAGTTAAAATAGCAGGCTGTGTGTCAGTCCTGGTTAGACTACACCAATGTCACATTTTGAGGTGCAATCCAGACCAGCGAGGGGTTGTGGCACCTCTTGCTTTGTAACCCTGAGTACCTTAAATGCTCTGCTGCTGTGGCTCACCACCTGGACACTGACAGCCAGCAGATAAGTAGGCACTGAGTGTCTGTTTACTTTTGCAGCTCTGGTATGGCACTCTGACCCCAGCACTGTGCCTACATCCCCACCTGAAGAAGAGCTCTGTGTAAGCTCAAAAGCTTGTCTCTGTCACCAACAAAAGTTGGTCCAGTAAAAGATATTACCTCACCTACCTTGTCTCTCTCATCTCCTGAGATCAACACAGCTACAACAACTGTTAAAGTGCAGTCATTCAAAGGCTAATGCTGAGAACTGGCCCATGGAGAATTGCTGAATGATTAGATGGTGTCAAACAGAAGGTGTTGCCTTAGGGCCTTGGGGAAGCTGCCCCTTTTCTCCCCCCTCAGTGGCCCTGCCCTTCTGGCTCAGAGCGTGCCTAATCCCCACCCTCAAAAGACTGCCAGCGGAAGAGGTGCCCCCCTGTACTCCCATAGCCTGATGGGTTAGCACACTCATTTAGTATTTTAGAGATCCATGTTCAAATCCTCACTCTTCCTGATTCAATATAGGGACTTAAGCCCAGGTGCCCCAGCGCCCACGTGAGGTCTCTAACCAGTGGACTATTGGTTTACAGGGGATGCTCCCTTTTTGGATTTTCTTGAGAAAGGGCTCATCTGGCTTAGGTGCCTAACTACTGGAGAGTGTTTGCAGCTGTGAAATTTTCCATGGGATGGGAATTCTGGTTCCCACATAGTGCTACCTGCAGCAGCTGCCCATGAGGGGGCTTGTTTTTTTTAACTCAAGCAGTAAATGCTTGTACGTTTAGAACTATAGTTCTGGGCTTCAGATCTCTGTCAGTCAGAGTGGTGTATTACATGGACACCGGGTGAGGGTATAGAGTCTGCTAAAGTCAAGTCCACTTCCTGTCCCCATCAGTCCCTCTCTTCTCTTTCTGTCAGGATTGAACATCTTTAGCTGAGCCTGAGGACTAGCCAACCCAGCCTCTGGGCAGATTCATGAGCTCAGCTGGGTTGTGGTAGCCAGGAGGCCAGCTTTCAAGTTCAGCAACAGCAGGTTATTGGCTGCTCAGTGCTTTAGCCTGCAGCTGTGACTGTGCTTGTCCCTGCCCTGCTTCAGTTCTGGCTTTGTTCCTGTCCTGCTCCTGCCTTACTCCTGGTTTCTGACTCTGGGCCTCAGTGTTGGCTCTTGTTTCTGGCTACCTCAGCCTGGTTCTAACCATTGAGCTGGACTCCTGGCACCTGGGCATGACATTAATGCTCTGTAAGCATGATATAGTCTGCACAAAACTCATATGCCCTTGTAGTATGAAAAGTAACCAATGTCCTAGTACACCTGTTGCTGTTGGATGAGGAGGGTGGGAGGGGGAGGCCACTGAGACTGGGGCAGAGACAATGTGGCCATTGCCAGTGATTGGGTTCAGTGATGGTCTGGGCTTCAGGACATGTTGGGGTCCTAGGTTCAGGTATAGTTGCCTTAAGAGATATTCTGGCAGTGGGAGAATTCTAGCCTTTAATACTGTGATGGTAAATGCAATGTGCTCTCTAAATACTCAGGACTCTGAAAATAATTTTTTATCCCCCACACTTTTTCACAAAAATGTTGTGAACTTGTAGGTTTTTTTACTTGAAAGCATATGAAGTTTTTTAATTTTGTGATTTGATGTGAAAAGATAGGCCTTTGTCTAAATTAAGCTATGAATTTTAAATTTGTAAATCTGGACATTTCTGATCAAAACAAAGACCACTTTTAAGGGAAGATGGAACCATTTTCGCTCCAGTCTGTCCTGTTTTGACCAAACCATTGCTTCCCCAAAAAACTCAGAAGGTTTCTTATTCAACTGAACCAGTTTCATTAAATTAAAATGCCATGTGAAATCTTAGATTTGGAGGTTTTGAGTTTCTTTGACTATTGCTCCACTTGTCATCCATATTTTTCCAATGAACATTCAGAAACATTCCGACTATTGAAGAAATTTATTATTCTGATTGCTGGGAGACACCACCTTTCTGATGAATATGAGAGCTTGCAGCGTTTAATGGTCTGTCTGTATTTCAGGCCAAATTCCAACAGAGGCATGCACATACCGGTGTCCCTGTGCACATACAATTATCTTTTTGTGTACATGGCCTTTTCTGCACCCATTAACTTTAAGCACCTTTGGTTTTCTTATTGCTTGTTATACTGAGAGATTGCTCAGCTGCCATAACAAACACACTGTCTATCCCACATCTGGTTACATTACAAAATCAGAACTTGTGGTAGTGTTTAACAGTGCAGCGTGGGATGTTTATCTGCTCTGCCCTTCATGGTTTCATTTTCTGACTGTTCTACGTTTAGGGAAGCAAAGAGCAGCAGCTCCTGCAGTCTGACCCAAGCAAGCAAACACATGCAGATTTGTATGCAGCATTAATGAAGGATTTACTGGTCTTCTTTGTTATGGTTCATCTTTTCTTTGGTTTGCCCTTTTGCGCAGGGCATGCATTATGCAATGTAGTTGAGGTCATCTTGATCGTTTTATTAATAGTAATAAATAATTCAGTGCTCACCAACAG